CTTGTGTATCATCCGTGTACAGGGGCCATGCTAATCTCTGTATGGTTCCAACTTCAGTGTATGTGCTGCCTAAGTGAGCAACATTATAGTTTAGATAGTCATTTTTCTGAAAAGGATTTAAAAAGAAAAATATACTTTGGGTATTGGTCTGTATATTCAGGGGTTGGCAAAGTAGGTTTACAGCTGTGAGTATGTGAGTATGTGAGTATACAATTAATTATTGTATTTGTATTATTTGTTTTATTGCTATTTTGTATCATTATCTTTTAGGTAACAATGGCTGGTAATTTTTTCTTAATCCTCACCTGAGGATATTTTTTCCATTGCTTTTCAGAGAGAGTGGAAGGGGGAGGGAGGAAGAGGGAAAGAGAGAGAACAACATCGATGTGAGAGAGACATATCGATTGGTTCCCTCCCGCACACTCCCTGACTAGGGCCAGGGACCAAGCCTACAACTGAGTTTCGTACCCCTGGCTGGAATCGAACCCAGGACCCTTCAGTCTGTAGGCCAACACTCTAGCCACTGAGCCAAACTGGCTAGGGCTGATGGCTGGTAATTTAACCAACAAAAGTGGATACTTAAACAGTACCTACTTTTGCTCACCCCTGTATATTAAGAATAAATTTGACTACAAGTAACAGGTACCCAAGAGAGACTGTAACCAAATGGAACTTAAACATTTAAGTCACACAAAAAAAGCCCAGTGTAGTCAATCTAGGATCGTCATGGGCTCTGTTCTTGTTTTCACTCCGTCATTCTCAGCATGTAGGCCTCTCTCTTTATGCCTGTTGCCACACAGATGCAAGGTGGCTGCTCCACCTCCAGCCGCATGTCCAGGTGTCAGGCAGGAAGAAGAGGGGGTGATCAAAAGGCAAAGAGGAAGGAAAGCAGGAAGTAGTGATGCCTACATCAAGAAAGCACAAGCTTTCCCAGAAACCTTCAACTTCTGTCCCATTGGTCAGAACTGTCATTTGGTACCTTCCCAGACAAAATCGGCTTCTCAGTAAGAAAGAGGAATGGTCATGTAGCCTATAACTGGCCACCATCACTTGAATGTGAAAACTGTATAATCTCAATTTTTATAGCTCTTCCTGTGTCTTACTCTTCATGCTGTTATTACAGAATGCCATACACTGTGTGGCTTACAAACAACAGAAGTTTATCATCACAGTATTGAGGCTACGGAGGCCAAGATCAGGAAGCTGGCAAAATTTGGTGTCTGGTGAGGGCCTGCTTCCTGGCTCATAGACTGCTGTGTTCTGACATGGTGGATGTGGCAAAGGAGCTCTCTGGGGAATCTTATAAGGGCGCCCTCTTGACCTAATCATCTCCCAAAGCCCTACCTCTTCGTACTATCACATTGGGGGGTAGGTCTCAACATAGGAATATTGGGTGATACAAAGCATCTATGGTATCCCTTTATATTTCTACAGGGCACTTTCTCATCTGTCTCCTTCAATTATCACTGATAGGGATTTATGTGTTCATTTTTAGATGGGAGGAAAAGGGCCAGACTGGTTAAATAATTTGCTCAACATTACCCAGCTAGAATTTCAGCCTTTTCCATTACTCATCAACTCTTCTGAGTTCACTGGAAACAACTTTAAGTTTTCTAGGCCTCTAGCTGATTTTGAAGGAATGTTTACATAGCTTATGAAAAGAATGTAATTTAAATATAGTTGCAGTGTTGCACACTGTAATCCATCAGTGGGGAGAGCCCACAGTATCTGCTATAAATACTTGAGGGAGTGACTGATTTAGCTTAACTGGGGAGGCAGACACCTAGAGCAGGAATAGAAGTCACACACTTCGCCAGAGCAAATGGTCTTCCATGGCTTTTCCTTGCCCGAGTTCCCTCTTGGGGCGCTGCTGCCACTAACTTGAAAAGATGCTGGCAAAGGTGAAAAAGAAACCCAATTATTGCCACTACCCTGCTATAATCAGGTTTAAACCACCATTCTAGAAGAATTTAGAAATATCTGACCCTTAGTTCTTGAGTCAGACTTGGTATCAGCAGAGCCACATTCTTTTTTTTAACCCTCACCCAAGGATATTTTTCATTGCTTTTCAGAGCGAGCAGAAGGGGGGCGGAGGGGGGGGAGAGAAACATCGGTGTGAGAGAGACATCGATTGGTTGCCTCCCACTTGGATGCCCACCTGGGCCGGGGATTGAGCCTGCAACAGAGGTGTGTCCCTTGTCCACACTTGAACTCGGGACCCTTCAGCTCTCGGCCGACTCTCTAACCACTGAGCCAAATCGGCTAGGGCCAAAGCCACATTCTTTTTATTTTTTTAAAAGTACATCTTTATTGATTTCAGAAAGAGGAAAGGAGAAGGAAAGAGAGAGAGAAACATTAATGATGAGAGAGTCGTCATTGATCGGCTGCCTCCTGCACTCCCCCAATGGGATTGAGTCTGAAACCTGGGCATGTGCCCTGACCGGGAATTGAACCGCGATCTCCTGGATCCTAGGTCCATGCTCAACTGTTGAGCCACGCCCGGCTGGGCCAAAGCCACATTCTTATGGGGTGAAAACAAGGTTAGGTATCTTCCTGGCTTCCAGGTACTTCAGAAAGTCCATCTCCCTATAATCATTTTTATTCTATAAAATTTTCTTCAAGTACATAAATAATACAGAATATACTCTCATTTTTAAAATTTCAGCAATTTAGATAAAAAGGATCCCTTTCCCAAAGGGAAACTTTACTTTCTCCGCGCATTACATCTAGATANTAGATAAAAAGGATCCCTTTCCCAAAGGGAAACTTTACTTTCTCCGCGCATTTCATCTAGATATAGTCATAGTTATGAAGACTAAGCAGTTCTTAAGAGGTGTATTAAAGTAAGTGATAAGTAAGAGCAAAGCACACTGCAGTCAGTTTTACTATTGTTTTGATCTTTACAGTCAATGCGCACTCATTNACATCTAGATAGTCATAGTTATGAAGACTAAGCAGTTCTTAAGAGGTGTATTAAAGTAAGTGATAAGTAAGAGCAAAGCACATTGCAGTCAGTTTTACTATTGTTTTGATCTTTACAGTCAATGCGCACTCATTGCTTGCACCTGGGGCACAAGGTGCCCAGCACCCAGCCCTTGGTATTCCATTGTATCCATCTCTATTCATAATTGAATATGTCCAAAATTGAATTTATTTTCCACCATAAGTCTGCTAATGTTATATTTTCTAGCTGTGAGGGTGTTGCATTATATTTTTCTCTTTCCCCACAATTGGGCTGAGGCCTTGCAGGAGACAGACTGTTTACATTCCAAAAATGTTCAGCCAGGGCTGGTGTGTCTCAATTGGTTGGAGTGTCCACCGCGCACTGATTAGATTCCAGGTTAGGGGTTTGATCCCTGGTTGGGGTGCATATGGGAGGCAACTGATCGATGTTTCTCAAAGCGATGTTTCTATCTCTCCCTCTCTAAAATCAGTGAGAACATATCGTCAGGTGAGGATTAAAAAATGTTCAATGGGCACTCTCCCTCTGGGGAGCAGGCCAGAGCCTTCCCTGTCCCCCTCGTCTTCCCCACCCAGGCTCCTTGCCTTTGGCACCTTCTTTTGACTCTAACTTGTTTCCTGAGCCCATTTCTTTTACAGCTCACTTCTAACCCTGACTTTCTAAATAAACTTTCTCTTATAGTTTGGGAAAAAAAAAAGTTCAATGAGTAGTGCCTCCATCTATCAGGCTGATGTCACTTTCTCATCTGAAAGCATCGTTTACTGCACAGACTTAGCACTTGCCGGCCAGTCGCCGTGCGGCGCGGGGCGACTGCACTGGGCTCTGCCCCCGGTGAGTGTTAGTTGAGAGGCCGGCACAGACGGTAAAGAGGCTCATTATGATATCGGTGGGTAAGGTGACCAAGGGAGACCCAGAAAAAAAAGCCTGGGCCAGAGCTTCCCAGAGCAGGATGAGGTTTTTCTCGCCTCTAGCAAAAGGGATTAGCGGAGTGAGGGACCACAGAGTAGCGGTCGGCCCAAGCCCTTTCAAGGTGAAAAACTTCAGCGGGTGCTGAGCAGAAGCCTCAAGCCCGCCTTGGAGAGCCACCGCACTTTCTAGGGCACAGCTGCCCCACGTCCTCAGGCGTTCCGGGGGCGCGCCGGGGCGGCCGGGACGGGCGCGAGCTCCCACCGGCAAATCGCTGGGCTTCGGCCGGACGTCCAGGGGGCGGGGGCGCGCACGCTGCCGGAAGCCGAGGGCGGGCAGAGCCACG